ATTCACAAATCACAAAGCATCTACCCCATCCCTCACTTGAAATCAGGAGGGGGGGGAGATTAGATACTTTGGAATTTGTGAATGCCACGTGTCATCCATCAGGACGGGTCTCACCTACTAACCGTGAGACCTGGTGTCATATAATCCCCCCCAGGCGATCTCCCTCCCACCGATTCAGAAAAACCAAACCAACCCTTCCATCCTTCCATCGATCTTTCCTTCCATATACAACACCAATCAAATCATATTGAATATTTTCGTCGGGAAAAGCTTCCATGAACAACAGTTTAATCAATTGTTTTCGCTCTTTTCATATACAACAGGGTTCTACTCCTAAAGGAGGAGTCTGCGATTGTGATGGTAGGTCATCATATGTCGTTTCGTTTATTCGCCTGTGCTTCTTCCTTCGGTCGGCTCCCCTTTTTCGTGTGTTTCCTTTCCTCGTGATGCAGATGGCCCACACATGCACATATTGCGATCCCGGATGCCTTGTTCAGGCGATCCTTGACGCAGCCTGATCCTGCAACGTCGATGCCCCATGCACTATATGCGGCCTCCCACAACGGAATTTCCTATTTGACGCGCTATGCGTCAAACTGCCGGCGCTTCGCACAGGCGAGCGACCGTGCAGCGATGCTATGGGCCGGCCCAGTTAGGTAGACAACAACCCCAACTAGCCAGACGGTTTTGGGAACCTTCTAGAAGGTTCCCTGAGCTGGCTTTTGTTTCTTTGACCGGTTTTTTGTTTTTTTTTCTGTTTCTGTTGCTCTTTCTTCTTTCTTTTCTTTTTTTTTGTTTTCTGTTTCTTTTTTCCTTTCTTCCTTTCAAGGTTATTTTATCTTCTTTTAAACTAAGTTCATATTCGAAAATTATTCTTAGTTTTTGAAAAAATGTTCTTGCTTTTAAAAACCGTTTGAAATTTCAAAAAATAGCCACTTTTCAAAAAATGTTCATAAATTTAAAACATGTTCGGCACTTTCAACAATTTTTCACAACTTTTCAAAAGATGTTCGGGTGTTACTAAACTAGTTCCCGTTTTAAAAAATTGTTCGCAAATTGCACAAAATGTTCACGTTTTGATTATTTTGGAGTTTCAGAAAATATCCATTTTCCTAAATTATTCACAAGTTTCAAAAAACCTTCGTGTTTTCAAACTTTGTTCGTCAATTTGAAAATATGTTCATGTCTTCAAATTTTGGATTATGTTTCCTTTTTGGTTTTTCAGTTTTTGATTCTTTTTCTTTTATGTTTCTTTTCAATTTTTCTTTGTAATTTTATATTATTTTCAGAAAAAAGTTTGGAATTTTTGTAAAACGTCCATGCGTTTATAAACATATCAGAATTCAAAAATTTAGTGTTTTCAAAATTATGATCATAAATTCAAAAATTGTTCGTATTTAACAAAATTTGTTCGTGTATTAAAAAATCGTTTTTAAAATTTATTTTTATTGTCTAAAAACTGTTTACAAATTTCAAAAAATGTTCTAGCTTACTAAAGATGATAAAACTGAATGTAGTTTTTTTTATTTTGTTCATAATTTCAAAAAATGTTCGCGTATTAAAAAATTGCTTGTGTTTTTTCGAAAAAATGTTGCGAATGTTTCTGCTCAAAAAATTCATAACTTCTAAAAACTTGTATGGTATTTCAAAAAATGTTTCTGTTTAAAAACATTGTTCACAAATTTAAAAAATTGTTCATGTTTTCATTTTCTGGAGTTTCCCAAAATGTTCCCGTTTAAAAATGTTCAAAAATTTCAAATAAATGTTCATGTTTTCAAATTTTGGTCGGGAGTTTAAAGAATGTTTGCATTTGCCCAGTTTTCTTTTGGAATTTCAAAAAATGTTCCCGTTTTGGAAATAATGTTTGTGATTTCGAAAAATGTTCCTACTTTTCTAAAAGAAATCAGTTTTTCTAAAGCAATTCGCCAATTTGAAAAGTGTTTGCATTCACAAAACACTCAGTTTTAATCTTTGAAAATACTGAAATTAATTTGGATCTGCTCTGTGTGGCTGATTCTTAAAAACGGACGCTGCAAACTTGTTAGTAACGTGCGCTAGCTCAGTCGGAGATCGCCTATGCGAAACGACGCCATTTTCGCTCCACAGCCCCGGGGAAGATCCACAGAGGATGGTGGCCGTGCCGGGAGGTGCAACGACCCGATATCGCGAGGCCCCGCAGCTCCCGCTCTTGCCGTGGTCGTGAACGAGGTCCAGTCGATACGTGATGCCTGATGCGCCATCTCGTCCCCCGTCCTTGAGATCCAGCCGTGGCAGAGGACGGGAAGGCTGCGCGCTGTGGCGGACGACGGGGAGGCCAGCGGCCAGCCGCGGACGATGGTGAAGCCGGTTGCGGCGGCCAGAGTCCATGCTCCCGGTCCCGGGGGACCCCTCCACAACTGCATCCCGTGTTCGCCGTCCCCATCGTTGCATCTCGTGCCCAAAGTCCTCTTCCCCGAGCATCACCACAGCAGTCTCTCCCATCAGTGGCTCGCCGTCATTGAACGCAGCTGCAGTTGGCACTTTCTTTTTTTTTTAAAGGAGGATGCACCCCCGGCCTCTGCATCTGGACGATGCATACAGCCACTTTATTAATTATTAAGTACAAAAGACCTTACAAAGTAGAACAATAGTGAGTCTGAAGCCACCATCTAAGCAACATCTGTACTATTTCTACCCCATTGATGCAGTGGTGCCGAATGTCCGAGCCTAATACCAAACAGACATCGCACCAAATCCTAACATCTAATGCCGGATGCCCCATCCTAGCCACATACCGAGACTGGATCACAAGCCGGTCCGGCGTACTCACCGAGGCTGCCGCCGCCTTCTTCCACCGATCCATCTGCAGAGCAGGTACTGACGCACACACCTTGTTAGGCCTGCCGTCGACGCCACCATGGCACCAGACAGCTCGACCACCCTGCGCTCGTCCATCCAGCCGCATCCGTCGTCGATATGCAGTTGCACCATGCCGCCACCACTCATCGTCAATGACGCGGTAGATACAACGCTGCACCACCTGGCAACCTCCACACCATCACCACTGCTGGAGCTACTCGGAGCCCACCATCCACAAGATCTCTCCCCCGAACAACAGTTCCTCCCAAGACGGCGCCTCCATGGAGGATACGACGCGCAGGACGCCGCCGCTGCCCAATCCATACTGAATTTTGGACTTTCGTCTGGGAGGGGTTCGGGGGTGGATAGGGGGGACCTCGGCTTCGCCTCCAGGAAGGGTAACGGCGTCAGGTGACGTCACCGATGCCGGGCCGAACACGCCGACCAAAGTTTCCTTCGGTCCCCATCCTATGCCACCAAACCTCCGTGTACTCCGGATCCGGCAAGCCACGATCCGAAACCCGCGAAGATGAAAGAGCCATGGGGCTCAACCCACCAGAAAGGAGGATCGAGAAGAACTCCTTGTAGATCTCTAGATGCCGAATTCAACGATCTGACGTGGCCAGCAACGATCATCACCACACTGCGGCGGCCGACGGAGTCCGAAGAAAGGATCCAGATGGATCCGATCTGGATCCGGTGGCACCCACGGCCACCGGTCAGGCCAACGCAGCCACCACCTCACGACACGCGGGTCGCCACCGCCGTGCCGCGCACGACGCCGATGGGAGACCCGCCCGCCGCCGGACCCCACGTTCGCCCGGCGTTCCTCTGGATCCCGCTGTCCCGCGCCAGCCAAGACGGAGAGGATGGGGAGAAGCCCCGCCGCCGCCCAGCCGGCCAGGCTTCGCCCGGCGGCGCTATGGACGGCGGCGAGGAGGGGGAGAGGAGGAGGAGACTCGAGGGGCGGCGGCTAGGGTTTTTCCCCTGGGTCGCCCACGGGGGCGACGCGAGGGGCGAGAGGTGAGGGGCGGCTCCTGTTGGCACTCTCCT